ATCTGGCTGAATGGAAGTCCTACACTAGAGAAGTAAAGGAGAAAGCACATTGAGACTGGTGTGAGGGATGGAGGCTCAGAACGGGCGGTCTGACACCCATGTATGGCATTTTTAATCAGGAGGTATTTCTGCGCTACTGAGGCCTCACATAAGGAGCAAGGAGCAGTTCCTCTTTAAGGGACAGTGAAGGACTTACTCAGACTCACTCCCTCTGAGCTCCAACACTGAGGCAGTGGCTTGGGGGGATCCAGGGATGTATGTGAAGGAACTGGATTGTATGGATTCAGGTCAAAAACTCTGGGGTGGATTTTTCCCAGACAGGGGTGCTCACAAGATTCATTGGTCTTTTGCTGAGATCTCCCTCGTTTCAGAGCTGACTGGCAGAGATAATATCTGAGGCTCCATCAACCTGGCTCACACTGATCACTCAGCCCTGGTGATTCCCTGAGACTCCACACAATTTTCAACCCCACCCAAGCTGTTTGCAATAGCTTTTCCATATGAATGTCCTGGCTCAAGTTTCAGACTTTCTTAACCCTTTGAGTGCCAACCAATATGCTAGGAACTATGCTAAAATTGCCAAGGCATTTTTGCTGATTTTACAGCAGTTTAGGAAAAAAATATAAATTGCAAGTAAATGAAGTTACATATTCAAAAACTTAAGGAAACCTTTACTACACTGACATATTTAGCAATATCATCATCACTAATAAAAGCAGACTTAGAAATGGACGCCATTTCAAAGCTTTGATAGCGCTCCTGGCACTTTTGGTGAAAGACAGGAGGAGTGAGATCGGGCTCCCCAGCAATCTAAGGGTTAAAGTCTCTCAAACAAGCATCAGCTGAAGCCAACATGCCCCCATATTTATCAGTAAGAGACCCAAGGCCTGGCACTAGCCTTGCTTTATAGCTTGGCCTCTCCTGGGAACTTCTAAGCCCAACACAAGTAGCAGCCATCTGCAGATATCTATGTAGCTCCTGCTGGGTAGCCCCAAGCAATGACTGACTTTGCAATTCCTGGGAGGCCACAGAGCCAGTTCACCCGGTGGACAGCTTCAGACTGTACCAAATTCCAACTCTATACATCCACAAGTGACAAATGCAAAGGAAAGACTCAGTGAGCACCAAAACCCCACTGAAGCAATCCTGCTACAGAGGGGTGTCTCTTACACAGTAGCTCTTCTGCAGCTGGTCCTCTACCAATTCTGAGAGACATAGCAACTCTACTTAATACATAAAAACAAGGAAGTAGCCAAAATGCAGAGACAGAAAAACATGTCACAAATGAACGAACAGAAGAAATCTCTGGAAAAAGAATTAAATGAAATAGAAGCAAGCAAGTTACTAGATATAACTTGCTTATATCTAGTTCAAAACAATGGTTATAAGAATGCTCAAGGATATTAATGAGAGCTTCAAGAGACTTAGTGAGAACATCAAAGACATGAAAAAGGACCAGTCAAAAATTAAGCATTCACTAAATGAAATAAAGAATAATTTACAGGGACTCAACAGTAGAGTAGAAGATGCTGAGAAGATGTGATTTGGAATATGAGGAAGAAAAAGACACCCAATCAGAAGAACAAAAAAATAAAATTCCAAAAATATTTAGATAGTGTAAGGAACCTCGGGGACAACCTCAAAGGTAGCAACATTCCCATTATGGGTGTACCAGAAGGAGAAGAGAGATAGCAAGATATTGAAAACCTATTTGAAGAAATAATGACAGAAAACTTCCCCTAACTAAATGAAAAAAAAAATAATGTGTCATTTAGTTACTGGAAGTACAGAGAGTCCCAAATGAGAGGAATCCAATAGATCCATACCAAGACACATCATAACTAAAATGCCAAAGGTTAAAGACAAAGAAAGAATCTTAAAAGTCGCAAGAGAAAAACAGTTAACTACAAGGGAGCATCCATATGACTGTCAGCTGATTTCTCAACAGAAACTTTGCAGGCTAGAAGGGAGTGGCAAGTAATAGTCAAAGTGATGAATAGCAAGGACCTGCAACCAAGATCACTCTACTCAGCAAAGCTATCACTTAGAATTGAAAGTCAGATAAAGAGCTTCACAGTCAAGGAAAAGCTAACCGAGCTCATTACCACAAACCTGTGTTACATGAAATGTTAAAGGACATTGAAGAAGGAGAAGAAGAAGAAGAAGAAGAAG